GAGACCTGTTAATGCTCCTACACCCGCCCACTCCTTAAGATGGTTCATTGTAGAAGTCAGCCAGAACGATAATCCCGATGCAAAGGAAAGGTCCACTCTGGTGGAATTCACATGGACCACTGCCAGCCTCAACTCCTTCAAAGTATCTTCAAATTTAAGTGACCAATTCTGTAAAAGAAAACTGGACAAATACTTGGACAAATTTGTAGCTTTTGTAAAATTGGCATACTGAACAGGAACACATATAATCCTTGCATTTTTCACTCGCAGCCTCCAGGTGTCAAGATTGCCACTCACTTCTCCTTAATTTGGCAGTGATTTTCCAAGCCTTAATGGCTATCTGATCCACCTGTTCAAACACCTGTCCTGGATATCCTGTCTGCATGTTTGCAAATCTACCTTTTCATTGCTGGAAGGGGGCATTGTTCATACCATGGGGATCATGACAATAGTTTGGAGTTCCTCCTCATTCTCCTCGGAGTCGGTAGACTCTGAGTCTTCTAGAGCTGAGTACATCTTTCTTTTCTGTTTTCCTCCCTTTTCACAGTTTGCCTGCTCTGATCCCTCCTCTTGTAATTGTTCTAAAGCATTTCTCCCCTTTTTAACTGCCTCACTACATTTCTGATCCTCAAGGGAACTTTTTACTAGTCTCCAGACAGGCCAAACACTACCTCTGAGCGTTTGAAATAATTCAGCAGCATTTATCATCAAGTGTACTTTAGCAGTTGTTCCTTCCTGAGCAATCAAAAAACTGAAAAACACAATAGTATACAGTATCCAGAATTTCTGTGTATTTTCCATATTGCTCCTCAGTCCCATGTAAAATCAAGATCTCTCCCTAACTTCCAAAAATCTTAGATTCTTAGAACGAAGCAGCTCATTCAGAGCCAAAAAATTGGGTGCAACTGAGAAGCGCCCATAGCCAAACTAACAATGTTTTTACTTTCGGTTTGCTGCTAGCCAAACTAACAATGTTTCTTTTAAGCTTCTAATGTTTCTTTTTAGCTTTTACTTTGGGTTCCCTGCTAGCCAAGCTAACAATGTTTTTACTTTTGGTTCGCTGCTCCACGAACCATTTGTCCTGCTCTCTCTTTACCTACAGAGAGGAGTAAACCAACTGCTCTTGTCCCAGTCCTTTTTTTACCCCGCTCTTGTCGTGGTCCCTTTTTTAGTCTAAGATTCTTTGATCGCAGCAACTCGTTGAGTGCCAGAAAAATTGGGCAGGATGTGGAATTACCCATGCTTTAATAACAAACAGTGAAAAGAAAACCCAAAAAATAAAATTGAATACCACCCAAAGGGCCAAGAAAAAAATAATAATACCCTTTGTTTCACTTTTACTCCGTCCGCTTTGACGCGGCTCTACTACTTTCATTTTTATCCCGTCCGCTTTGACGCGGCTCTACTTTCATTTTTATCCTGTCCGCTTTGACACGGCTCTACTACTTTTCTTTTTGTCCCGTCCGCTTTGACGCGGCTCTGCTGACCGTTCTCCCCTTCTCTACGGGTGAGAACAATAATCCCGCTCTTTTCTCGGATCCCCGCCTTACCTGGGGACTTACCGGTGCACCCCCTGACTGCTGTGAGTTCTGAATTCCTTTCTTCGTACGAGCGTCCCCGTATGGGCCACCAACTGTCACGACCACCTCGACCAGCAAGGAAGATGCGACTCAGGAATCCTTCTCACAAGCAGTTTATTCAGGACCTTGAACAAATCTGACCCCAGGGAGTGCCCGCCCACAGCTTAAAAAGGCCCTTGGGCGGCCAACCCTGGTAAGCCATGTGGCGACAGCAGATAGGTCCACATACGAGGAAGCAAGCCTGATATCCAGCCTTGACCAAATAAGGAGTTGTTTATCACAGAGAGCACTTGCTGTCGGGCTAGCAAAAGGCAGAAGCCAGCACCATCTTAAGGGTGCGGCACTTCGCAGCTCTCTACATGAGCTCACCCCTTTAATCCCAGCACTAGAGAGAATATAAGGAGCTCAGTGCAGTCTCAGGCAGCAGTCTGAGATTTGGTGAAGAGCAGTGCAGTCTGGAGATGCAATCTGAGGTTTGGTGGATCACCCCCTTGGTCTGAGCATTGGTAGAGGTGAGAGCTCTCAAGTGGCTGGCTGCTTTGCTTTTCTGATCTTCAGCTTGAACTGCAATATCTGCCCCTGTGTTTTTCTTATTCATGCTACAGAGTGTGGCTTTAGCATCTGAGATCTCAAAGCCCACTCCCAGTGACACACTTCCTCTAACAATGCCACACCTACTCTAAACAGGGCCCCACCTTTCAATAATGCCAGTCTCTATGAACCTATGGGGGCCGTTTTCATTCAATCTACCTTACCTCTGAATACTGCTTGCTGAACCACACCTTTGGAAGGGGTGGGGTAATGGGGTGGAGATTCATAGCCAAACCATGATGTTATACATCTCCATTTCAATAGGAGAAAATTCAGACGGTAAATCAGTTTTTCCAAAGCATTATGCCTGTTGGAGAGATTCTATGACTTTTGCTCTTACTCATTGCAATTGAGTTGGGGCACAAACCTGTGTTGTAGTTGTTTCAGCCACTCCCTCATGGGTTGTTCCTTTGTTTGGAAGTTTGGATACTTGTTGAAATATTCAGAGGACATGTGCCCTACCACCTTTGTAGTCAGAGGTTGGCTCAATCTAGTCATGACTGAGAATGCCAAAGCACCCAGCTTTTCTTCTATAAACAAATTAGGAAACAAACATCAGGATCTATAAGTTCTCTGTTGTATTGATACAGAAGGAAAAAGAGTCTTCTAAGTGTTTCCCAGGTATCCATTCTTCACAGTGTGGATAGAGAAAGGAAGTTAATGTTTACTAAGAGCTTACACACTTTAAATTTCAATTCCAAGTGTTGTTTCCGGACTGTTAGGATGTGACTGGGCACATACAGCACCCTTTGAGGGCAGCCATGAGATCTATATACAGAACAAAAAGCATTAAATAAGAAAGGATAAATAAGGAAGTCTCCGTTCTGAGACTGTGTAAGACTTTCACTGGCAGTGCTGAGGATGTAGCTTAGTCTGAGAGTCCTTGTGTAGGAGGCAGAAGGCCCTGGGTTTGTTTCCCAGCATCGAAGAAACTGGGTGTGGTGGCACATCATTGCAACCTCAGTGATCAGGAGGTGGACAGAGTAGGATCAAAAGTTCAAGGTTATCCTCCACTACGCCACAGTGAGACTGAAGCTAGCATGGCTACTCGAGACCCTACCTCATTGAAACCAAACCAGACAACCATAAATGTCACGACAGTCTCACCATCCTTTCTACTTTCTACAATGAGTTTTATCTGTGTGGTCCAGGGATGGGGGCTTGGGGCAATGTCGCTGGAAAGCTTGATGAAGCACTGAGCACTCGACAGGAGTGAACTCTCTTTCCTGAGATCCTGGCCTTGGCAACGGCGTTTTTCTCGGTAACCTTGAGATTTTAGATTGTGAAAAGGGATTCTGTTGAGATATACAAGCTTTAAAATCAGACTATTCCGATGAAAGGCCAGGAGGGGAACAGAGAGCTTCTTGATACAGGTATTCATCTCTAGAAAGCAAAACAAATTTACAAGCACAGCCATGAAATCAAAGGGAAACAGAATCCCTGAAGGCGTTCTCGTCGTGAATAAGGGATGGTGACTGGGAGTGTGCACCCTGTTATAGCTGCTATAAAGGAAATGTAACAGTGGGGGTCGGCAGTGGATGCTGACACTCAGTTCCCTTCAGTGAGATTTGTTAGCACGAGAGGGCCTCAAGGGCATCATGGGACCTCAGGGTGGGAGGGAGCACACTGGATAGAAACAAGGTCTGGAGACTGATCTGAACATGATGAGGCCTTAAAGGGAAGGAAGGATGCCCTGTGAAGCTTTGCAAAGGAGCTTTATTGAGGTGGTGGGGGTGGGGGAAGTTAGGTTCTTCAGAGATCAGTCTTTAGGACCAAATCCCTTTGAGGAGTCTTGGGTCAATCCCCAGAACAGAGGGAAGATTTGACTTTTTATAATTCTTTTGAGCTAATGGGCAATTTCACATCATGTGATTTAGTTGAGCATAGCCTGCTTGACAAATAGCATGGAGGAGCTAGGTAGCATAAACTGAGGGCTGTCAAGTCGCAGCACACTCTGCTCCTAACTTTTCTGTTCCAGAGAAAAGCTGCAGGGAGGTGTGATCTGATAAAGGCTTTGGCATCTGATCTAAAGCTGCAGGCTATGTTGAACTTTAGCAGTGCCAATATTTAAAGTGTAAGACGGTGTAATCTGTGGTTAAGAGCATAGGTTCTCATAGTGAAAGTCTGGTGGAACTTGCTGAGTGCTGGCTCTGCCATTTACTAGCCATGTGACTTCAGATGGCATCAGTGTTTCATTCGCCCATGCATGGGCTCAATACCAGATGCTACCTAGCACTGTTGGGAGAGTCAGTGATCTAGCGTATGCATTCACTGTTCTTTCAGCTGCATTCAGTAGGTGTCTCATAAATGCTTGCCATTATTGTTACTTTCTATGTTTGGTATCATCTTTGGTATCATCTGCATACAATTAAAATTATTTTTGAGACTGGGCTCACCATATAATCCACTCTAGCCTCAAAAATCACCATTTTCCATTCTCTGCATACTACGTGCTGGGAATATAGGCTTATATCACTGTGCCCATGTAACCAGAATATGACATTTTGGTTAGTTTTTTTTTTTTTTGAGATGGGGGTCTTTTGTAGTTCAGGCTGGCCTCAAACCCATTATTTATCAGAGGATGACCTTGAGTTCCTGACACTTCTTCCTCTACCACTCAGGTGCTAGGATTACAGGTGTGCACCACCGTGTCTGGCCTAGATGTCTTTTCCCAGTACTTGTTTATTTCAGCTTCTTCCTCTATCAGGCCTTCAGTTTGTATTTCCTATCCGAAGTGGTCCCCTCTTCCTCCCAGTTACCTGCTCCTCATGTTCTCACAGGAGGCTGCTCATCCAAATATTTATGTGGGCTAAAGGATGCCAGAAGAGGTTATGCTATGCTGAATACTTTATTTATATTTTTATGTAAACATATTTTGCTCTGTAGGCACAATATAACAATATAACGAAAGCTCTGAAGCCACAGACACATTAGACGATGTTTGGTTCATTCCAATAAAGCTCAACCTTCCAGGAAGCCTTTGCGGTTCCCTTAAGGCAAACAGATATTCTTTATGATTCCTCCAGGAAACCATCGAGAGAGGGGAAGGAAGGTGCTTAACACAAGAGTCCACAGGGTGACCGACTGATTCCAGTTGTCCCTTACCCACCCTCCTGTTCTCCAGGGCAATGCTCGTCATACTCAGGTTTTCACATTCTGAGTTCTCAGTAGAGGAGAGGTTTGCCATGTGTAATCAGAGGTTGGGGAGAGATGACTTCCTGTGTGTCTCTGCTGTACATGACAAGACCATCTGCATTCTGAATGTGGGTCAGGTTCTGTGTCTCCCGAAGGAGAACCTTCCTATGGCCAGTGACCAGAAGGCTATTTCTACATACTAGTAATAGCACTTTGAGAGTGGTCCTCAGGTCTACCCACCCTTAAGCATGATTATGGTAGAAATGTGGCTGATTACACCACGTTTAGCAAGGGTCATCATCTCTCTGGAGTGCTAGCCACTCCCCGGGGCTAGAAAACAAAAGTCTGTGATTGGCACTTTCTTTTCGATATTCTCATCCCTTGGCTTATTGGCTGGTGGTACCTTTTCTCATCTTCATATTTGACTCATACAGTCACAGTGAGGAAAGACTCCATTCAGGTAAATATTTGGCATGAAGAAATCATCATCACAGATTCAGAATCCAGAAAAAGGAACACAATGAATGACATGAGACCAGCTACAGAGACTTTGCAAACCGAACAGGGAAGTGTTGAAATGGGTGTGTTCCCAGCCCATGGGAAAAGCATGGGGTTGAAGAAGGTGGGCAACACAGGAACCCTCTTAATGTCTTCAAGAATGTAAAGAAACTTGGAACACCAACTCAAGGTCATGGGAGATTCCACAAAGCAAAATAAATTCAGGGTGCCAATTTCATGGGTGACTTTTTTTTATCTAGCTTGGTTTATGAGTGACATATGCACTCTTAAGACAGAGGGCTGGAAGGATCCCCACTGTGGAGGGAGACTCCTTTTCCTTTAAGGTAACTGTTGTCACTTCAAAGTCCATTAAAAAGGTCTAGGATATTTCTTTCAAGCTGGAAAATTGAATAGGGTATGTGATCAAGCAGTTTGGTCTCTGATTTCTAAGGAGCCTGTAAGTCAGCACCATGATTTTGTGTGTTGGAGAGGGGGACCATACACTCGGCATCAGATGCTGGATAGCCACCATCTATATCCCTTGTGCTGATTGCACAGTAGAACATGCTTCTAGAAGGCAAAAGAAACCAACTGATTTTTCCATTCCAAATGTTGTCTTCAAGGGAGCTCTTCCTTGGGAAAGCTGTTTCTTGGGCAGGAACTTAGAAATAACCACAGTAATTCTGAAGACTGAGGGTGAGAACCGCGGTGAGTTTAATGACATCTGAGTTAGGCCTACACATGGTGAGTGTCCTTATGGTTTAAATAAACTGTGTGTGGCCATGGGGAGGACTTTGCTCATGAGATGTGGTTTCAGAGGAGAGGTCTCTGTAGCTGGTCCTCAGATAGATGCTGTTGACCCATCTCTATCCTAGAAAGAACGCGTACCTGGCTCCCTGGGTTTGTGAATAAGAACCAGGGACCAGGGTTAAAGAGAGGCTCAAACCTTAAGGTGCAGAGACAAATACGGGGATGGAGCCTCTTAGAGGGAGAGTGACAAAGCACTGCTTGGAGAAGTCTGCATTTATAAGATTGTGAATTCTTCTCTTGGCCTACTCTCTTGCCACTAGCCAAACTGACAAGTGCCATAGTTGGAGGCATAGCTGATTGCTGGCAGGCAAAGAGTGTCATTGGCCTGAAGAATAATGGGATCTGGACAGGGCTCTGTGACAACACCTTTCAATCAAACTTGGCCTTGCCCATGTCTGGTTTCAGACATTGGGCCCTGTGGTCTTGTATTAATTTGCAAGGTTATTCTAGAACTGTCAAGAAGGACCCGAAGAAGGATGGGTTTGATACGAGGGAGAGGGGAAGAGTGTGATACCCAGACCAAGAAGGTACACAATACTGCATGGAATGGGATTGGCACTTAATTCCAAACACAACAGTGATCAACAGCTTCTTAGCTTGGCTGACTGCAGACAAACACGACACGCACTGGACTACAGCATTTGTTCACTGGGGCACAGGAGAGGTCTCATGGCGGCCATTTTCTTGCCAGCCGTCCTTTACGTTCTCGGATATGAGGTCTTACTGGATGAAGGGCATCCTTTCCTTGTTCTCGCTGTCGCCTTCATGGTCCTCTTCTTCCTCCCCTGCCTCGCTGGTCTCAGTGCTGTCATTGGCCATCTGCAATTCAACAGAGGTCATGATGGAGGTTATGTACCTGCTCCCTCACCATCTTTGAGCACTGGACAAAGCATTGTGGGGTGGGCCTCTTTCAGAGTGGTCATTCCCATAGGAGAAAGTGCCTCGGAGGGCCCCTTCTGTACCCTTTACTAACGCTCAAGGCCCTCCTGCTTCCTTTAATGTCACTTGTTAGCTCTGGAGGTGATCTCATTGCATCCATTTGAGTCTCATGATGCCCTAGATTCACTTTGACTTCATGCTATCTTCCATACAGAAGGGTTGTGACATTTTCCCTACCACCAATACTCCAAGTTCCCATTCTTTACTGTCTCTTTGTTTCTTTGGGTGTCAGGGTAAAACTATTTCTAGATAACAAGAGCAATAATTCAACAGAGGTAGGTCCTGTTGGCCTGAATTGGGAAACTATTTGGCCTTAATTTGATGGGCTTTGCTCCTTGATCAAGCAGACATAATCCCAGCCCAAGGGCCATTAGAGTCTCATGGGTTCATGGAGATAAGCAGTGCCTTGGCATGGAAAGCCAGGGCAGCTCTAGAGCCTTCTATGCATCGGGCTGAAAGAGACTGATTCACGTAGGCCATAGTGTATTTGCATGGGGGCTTTGGGATCCTAGTCCCTCTCCCTACCCTCATGCCATCATTTTCCCTCAAACAGTCCTGTGACTTCATGAGTATTTTCAAAACTTATATCTGTTTTGTTATCAGTGACTTGTGTCACAAGGTGCCACTCCTTTAACTATTGTCTCTAGAGTGAAATGACCATTACACTTGAGCCATGCTGTGGCTACAGACGACCGGGAGCTATTTCTGAAAATACACACTTGGACTGAGAGCTATGCATCATTTTAGTTTTTTTTTCTTGAAAAAGACAGATACAGATACGAGACTAGTGTGTTAGTAAAGAAACTTAAAACAACAACAAGCCTCCATGTTTTCTTTGTTTAACTAACCCCCTACAACTTAGAATGGCCAGCCATGCTCAGTGAATAAATGACTTTCTAAGTGACCTAGAAGAACCTGTCAACCTCTAGCTCATAAACGGGACCAAAGCTGGAGTGCAAAGCAACCTTCCCAGGTTGCAAATGGACTAAGCACCAGGCTTTGAAAGCATGCAGTCAGAGAGTCTGTGCATTGAGGGTTACACCATATGCCACCCCTTCCCCAACGCAGACAGTTTGGGAACAGGTGAATCCGAAGTGCTGTATTCTCCTGGGTTGCCTGGATAGCAGGGTTGCGTCCCAATAAACGGAAGTAAGTCGAACGGGAGCACCAGGAGCATCCAGGGGCAGTTGGCATCATTCCGTTTGGCACACGTAATACACTGTGTAGAATTAACTAGGACGTCTTCCCACTAGTAGCAACCTAGAGATGGCAATTGTAAATGGTCCTTTTCTATCCATTCCAATCCATCCTCACTCATCAATTTTCCTATCCTTCTCCACATTAATCTCAGCCCCTGGCTATCCCTCATTCTGGAATCATCCGATCACCCCTAGTTTTAGAGAGCCTGTAAACTGCCCGCATTTCCTTCTTCGTCATTTGTGCCTACCCTGATGTTCCATCTGTTTGCCTTTGGTGTTGAGCCTGTACTCTGCATTCCACTTACCAGCGGAGTCGGGGTCTTTTCCACATCCAGAATTAATTTCCCGATGTTTCCTCGGTCGTGGATACGCTGCATGGCCTCCTTTACCTGAGACACAAAGTTAGACAAGCGCTGATTAGTGAGATGTGGCTCCTGGAAAATGGGCCTGGAAAAGTCAACCCGCCAACCTTCCACCAGAGGGCGCTGCAGCTCAAATAGTGGTTCAGACAGCAACTTTTTGTGGTGCAAATATATCCATTTGCCTTGTGTCAATCATACGCTCTGACCATCTCTTGGAAGCCTTGTGGGTCTGAAAAATGACTGCAGGGGGTGCTGTGGGGATTAATGGAGAAGACACAGAGCCACTGCTCTCCACATCATTCATACATACATACAAAGTCAAGAGTGGTGAGCATTTACATAACCTACTTAAATTTATATAACCCTGATTCATAATTTCGTTAAACAAACCAAATTCCCATGATTTCTATTTGCTGGGTTGAAACTGCTTCTATCTAGCAGGAATTCTCTTCAGAAGAGAACACTCCCTAGAAAAATGCACTATAGTTTCCTTTTCCATGTCCAGGCACTCGTCAGACTCATGAATGTCCTGGGGGCCATCTGTGAAAAGAAGGTTGTAATACACAATCATGTTTGTTCTGAGTCTTCCTTTCTGCTGTTGTGTAGAAACAGAACTGCAGGGGGCGCTGTGGGAATTGATAGAGAAGACACCTAGCCATGTATGTTCTCCGTATCTTGGTGAAATCTAAGTGGGTATGGAATTTCTCTTGCCTCACAAAAGTCAATTTACAAAAATTTATAATAGATTGAGTCCAAATATTTTTTGTTAAGTCTCACAATTTAAAATATTTTTGTTCCTTCGTCCCACAAGTATTCAGTAAATGTTGCTTCAAGGCTAGATGCTATGACATTAAAAAAGAAAAGTCATACATAGTTAACTTCTTGTGAGGAACTCAGCCCGTGGCTGATGGAGAACTGTTTGCTTATTTGAAAATCAAAGGCTTCCATTCATTTGGATCCAACCTCACAGAACCATTAAGATGTTTGTGTTCAAATTGCTTTTCTGGGACTTTAGAGACACATTCAATTTATGGGAGAAAAACATAAAAGATAATGACTGCATTGCTTTTAGTGGCAAAGCCCTGAAACAGCTTATATGTCACAGTAAAGGGATGGGTAAATAAACAATGGCTTCTACATTCATCTACCAGATGGAAATGTTGCATAGCTGTTAAGGAAAAGAAAGATATACACCACTAATTATCAAGAAGACACAGCAGGATCAGATGCTTTTGTAATCTTGCTAAATGAGAAAACCGACAGGCCTACTTTTATTTACATCTCTCTATGAAAACGTAGATATTCTAAAACAACTAGGAGGGCTTGCAGGTGTACCTTGAAAATTAAGTGAAGGAAAGGAGTGCCTTTCAACTCTACCCTCCAAATAATGTTGTATGGTAACATGCTGGCAAATCAACATTTAATATATCTTTCAAATGCAGTGTTTTTGGTCACTTTATGGTGAGAAACAATCTGTTTTGTCATGTAATTTTTTTGACCCCAATAAATAAACCAGTTGATTCTTTCCATTTATGTGGTGACTTCTGAAGTGTTTTTCACACTTGGTCATAACAACAGGTACTACCTGTGGCAGGCTGATTCCAAAGCTCCTCCTAGATTCCAACATGTGTGGGTGCTCTTTTATAAAGCAGCGTGGTATGTATCTGTATAGAACCTACATCCATTTCCCATAGACTTTGAGTCCTCTCTGCACTACTTTTAACACCAACTACAACATGATACTGTGCTATTCTACCATACAGAGAATCATGACAGAAAATCAAAGCATGTATGTTCATGCAATCTCCCCCCACTACACTCTCACCGAGTATTTCCTCTGCAAGGTTTGTTGAAACTGCTGATGCAGAATCTGTAGATGAGGCAGGCCTACTGTGCTTATTGAAAAGTTCTATGTGGTGACAGATAATTGTTAGTGTAGCTCTCTGTCCCTCCTGCGAGTCATGTCCTTGTGTGATTGTCTCCCCTTGAGTGTAGGCTGGAGCTAGGGACCTGATTCCTTGTAGAGTACAGCAGATAGGATGCATTCCCCCTTCCAAAATTAAGTTACAGAAGACCACATCTATGCTGCAGTGACTCTAGTAAGGCATGCTACATTGCTTGGGGTTGCCCTAAAGAGTCCTTACATGACATAGTTCTAGGACATGTTCCATCCAACCGAGTAAGGGACTGAGACCCTCAGCTCCTCTGAGTATTTAAATATTGCCAACAATATTGAACTTAGAAGTAGAATCTTCTTCAGTCAAGCCTTGAAATGAGATCATGTTCTGGCTGACATCTTGACTGTAGCCTGGTACAGGCATACCAAGATCCCAGTACTCTATCCCAAGCCTGTGAAATCTATTGGGTCCCAGCCCGGATGGATTTCTGCACATTGTCAGCTGATAACCACAGGTGCATCCTGTTTTCTAGTCCTGGCTAACAGCCCTGGCTTTGCCCACCTGACACCAATATCTAGCACGAAAAAACATGAGTTCTTATCCCTGGGGCACTGTGTTGTAAGTCTGTATATAAGGCTGCTCACTCCTTATGGCACAGGAAGACACAGACATGGCATATGCACACGCATTCTCCTGGTAATAAAGGTGGCAGACGCATCCTCTTAGCACAAACGGTTGGACATCTTGTCTTTCATTTCCTGATACCTTGGACTTGTTTGTGGCGTGGATGCCACAGAAATCACCAGTGCTGTAAAGTTCACTGGTTTTTTGGGGGGCATGGAGTGGTAAATGAGGTAATGAATATTGAACAGACTCCTACCTTGCATGTATAATGCTTAGCTTGCAAGATATATACAGTGTCCATTTTAAGGCTAAGTACCTCAAGGCTAAAAGAGCATAAGCAATTCACTCAAAGATTACATAGCTAAGAATTATGATTCAGAATCAGGTTGGATGGACTTCAAACCCAGGATTTCCCCCTCAATTTTACCTAAAGAGGGATGTTTCACTTGATCCTCGAAAGTAGAAGATGGTAACAACATCCCTCACAATGCTCCTTTTGAGTAGCAGGAACCCTGGATACCTTCTGTATACCATGCAAGTGCTCTACTACTGTGTCACTCCCTTAGCCTCTCGATGGTGGATTCGGGCCAAGCACTTGACCACTGCCCCTAGTCCCTCATTGTCAGATTCTAGACAAGGGCTCTACCACTGAGCTATGCCCCTAACTCCTCATTGGTAGGTTCTGACCAAGCACTCTACTACTGAGCCACGTTGCTAGAACATCCCACATAGTTTCTAGCCAGGCACTCTGCTGATGAGTCACATCTCTAGCCCCTAACTGGCTATGGTAGTTTGAATGTATTTGGCCCCCATAATCTCATAGGGAGTGGCACTATTAGCAGGTGTGGATTTGTTGGAGTGGGTACGGCCTTGTAGGAGGAAGTGTGTCACTGTAGGAGTAGGCTTCAAGGTTCCCTATCTTCAGAATGTTTCCAAGTGTCTCAGCTGGCTTCCTGTTGCCTGCAAGATGTAGACCTCTCAGCTATCCCTCCAGCACCATGTCTGCCTGTGTGCTGCGATGCTCTGTACCATGGACTGAATGGTTGAGACTGTAATCGAGCCACCCCAATTAAATGGTTTCCTTTATGAGAGTTTCTGTGGTCACGATGTCTCTTTACAGAAATAGAAACCTTAAGTAAGATACTGGAAGATCCCAGCCAACTGCTGTAACACTGAGCCACACCCTCAACCTTCCGCTTATTTTATTTTTATAAAAATTTATTAGCTAAAGTTCTCTTAGTTAGAAGGTTTCTAGTTAGCTCATCATGCAAAAGGTACAAGGTTTAATCTTTGCTTTTATTTACGTTTAACAAATCTTTCAACTTTCCCTTATGGTACTATCTCTATAGCTCCTTGAAAAAGTTTCTTTCTCCACAGGGCTTCACTAAGTTTCCCAGGGTGGTCAGAAACTCAGTCTGAAGTCCAGGAAGATGGTGAATTTGTAATTCTCCTGTCTCAGCATCTGGAGCAGCCAGGATGACAGGGCACAGTTAGGCACACTTTAAGCTGTTACTGTACTAAGTAGGAGTCCAGGATGATGTGAAGAGCTGCTTTCTTACAAGTTAAAGGGGATCATGAGGCTGGAGGAGCCAGGAGAAGTCCCCTGTAGGGTTGCCTTTAATCTGCATATATTTTTGGAAATCTCTCTCTGAAATGAAACATCGCCTTGAAGTCCTGTCTACAGAAAATGGATAAGGAACCAGGAGTACTCTCAAGAGGTCATTTAATTACCCCCACCCCAGTCATGCTGTTAGACTCTCTACAATCCTTTAAGGCTGCTCCTGAAGCTGTGCAGGAACCCCACTGGCAGAGGCTTAGAAGGAAGGAGACTACCACTTTGATCAATTCTTTATCAGGCACAGTGTGTAGCATTTTGCACGCATGGTGCTACTTCATCCTCACGCTGAGCTTCTTGAGGGAATGTTTGCACCAGCTTTTTCACAGCCGAGAAACACAGGAGGAAGCATCTGAGAGGTCTGCCTCTGGCTGTCACTCAGAAGGGAGAACCAATTGGGAGAAGTGAGTGCCAGCTCCTCTCTCTAAGGCTCTGGGCAAAGCCCATTACAGGGTTGTGCTGGCCACGCCCCAAGACTGTCCTCTGCTGACAATTCTGTGCCGTGTTCAGGCTTTACTGCCAATTTATCAGCTTATAAAAGGTCCCCTAATAGGTGTTGCTCTCCAGATGTTTGAGAGCACCAGGGGAGATTTGTCTCCTCTGAATTTAAGACTTTCCTAATGTATCTTTCTGTTGGAAGCCAAGCTTGCACTAAGGAGAAGAGTCTTGTAGGCTTGCATCATTGTAGACAAGTCTTGTAAGCATTGTCTAATCTAGTAGCCATAGGTCGCCTGTGACAGCAGGACTTCCCCTTGAATGTGCTTACAACTGCCATATACTGACACCCATCATAAAATATGTACCATATTTCAAAGATTTGGTAGATATGAAGCCACCAGTGTACAAGACAGGGCCTGGAGAGATGGCTCAATGGTTAAGAGCATACACTT